CCACCGGGCCCCTCATGGGGCTCGGCAGTGGAGCTGCAAGGCCGGCGGCGGCCAGAATCGTTGGGGGCGGGGTGTGTGGTCTTATGACACACTTCCGGTGATGTCAGGGGTGTGGCATATGCTAATGAGTTATGCTAATGAGTTCCCCTAGCTCTTTTTCTACGAAACGACCCCTGCATACGTTTAGCCTGGAAATAACACAGGTTAACAATGTGTTTTAGCTTGGCACCTAAAAGAAAGTAAAGTAGGTGCCAGGCGAGCTTCAAGAGTGAGGACATTCCAAAGGTAAGGTGCTACCACAGAAAATGCCCTGTCTCTAGTTACCACCCACTTCACCTCTGAAAGCAGGGCACAGAGAACAAGGCTTTAGAGGCAATATGTGGGCTGGATAGTATGCCACCTCTTTGACATGCAATCTGTGGCTTTCCTTAGCACTGTTCCCCAATTTGGCAACTACCCCAACTTTCAGGAAAGTGGGCAAGGCCCTTGCCTGGTGGAGCTGGTAGTTGGCAAGTGTTTACCTTGAAACAGATGCTGCCAGAAGAGCAGGTAAACTGGAAACCTCCATAAGGTACATGTCTCATGCCCAGGGATGAAAGTAAATGTGATTTTGGTTGATGGTATGTACAAATGTGCATAGATAAATTGATATATACATAATCAAATACAGAAAGCACAGGAACCAATGTTAGTGATACTTTGAAACAACCAACATCAGCTGATCACTGAGAAACAGGACATTAAGAACAGACTGTGGATTTTTTCAAGTAGTGAGTGTGGGAGAACAGTTTGGTGGAGGGCTAGTTATAACAGGAGGCTACATTAAGGACAACATAAGGATCATAGTCCCTTATCCTACCCTGGAACTAAGAGAGGGGCTTACTAAGCGGCATCAAGGAGCTGTAGCTATTTGTCATGCTGTTAAAGCCTGCTGGGAAAGAATTTCACTTGGCACGTACAGTTAAAAGGTGGAAATCAGTTCAAATTTACCTCAGTTACTGTTTATATTTTTTTTAAAAATTAAATTTTTATTAAGGTCAAGTATAACTTATAACATGTACAATAACTGCAAAATAGTATACAAAAGTCCTGAGAGTCCAAAATTACAAACCATCCAGTTAATCACCCCCAAAATTTTCAACATACATCAACAGTTATAACATACTAACATAATAATTTAATATCAGATCCGTTTATATTTAACAAACTTTACTCTTGTTCCTTTTTCAAAGTGAAGAATCATCTTATCTCTGTCATTTTTACTTTGAATCATAACTATCAGCCAAACTTTTGCTTAGAGTTTTTTAGAATTCCAGATTGGAAATATCTCCTGAATGGTTATTCTTGTTGGGAATCCTAGCGCAAGTAGGCACAGCAGGAAAGTGAGAGAAACACAATTGACAGAAATCAGCTTAAGACAAACCCATAATTTACTCCAAGATATACCTGAATGGGGGAGGAAACCTTTGAAACAGCATGAGAAGGGCCGCACTTAGAAGTTGAAGATGTATTTCGAAGCATCTTCTTCATAGTCTCAGTTTCAGATTTATAATAATCTCTCTCTTCTTTCAGTGTCTTTATACATTTCTCAAGCCTTGAAGGACAGCACTCTTCTGATTCTTCAGTATCTAAAACAACCTTTTAAAGGCCAAAGTGAAGAGTTATAACAAATAGTATTAACTGACTAACATAAAATTTTATTTCAGCATTTTTCTACCTGTATATTCTATATATTTTATTTATTATAAAGCAAGCATTTGGCCTGTTACAAAACCATGTAAGGATGGAGATGCATCACTTGTAAGTAAAACCCTGAACCTCAGCCAGCAACTCCTTCGAGAGCAATGCTGAGAATAGGTGAGTGGTGGATAAATTAGCACCACAAATCTCATCCTTAGGTGGTCTCTGAATGTACTCGTCATTGGGCCAGATTTCGTCCCTGAGCCTCCTGCTGCTGATCTGTCATTTGAAGATGACAGTATGTACTATGAAACAACATTTTATTTCAGGAAACTTGACTTCTGCATGACTGACAAGTTCAGTAAAAATTCCTTTGTATAATTTTTTTCAAAACCATAGAGATTTTGAAGGTGATTCCAAATTTTTAGTGGGGACAAAACTCTTGTCAAGTGATATTTAGTGATGCATGAATATTCCCATAACCAAATGTTGGTGAAACTGGTTTTTAAAAAATCAGTAATTGCTCTAAACAGGGAGGCATGCCTGCAAAGTTTTGGGTGATCTAGCATGTTCTTTTAGGCTGCGATCACACACGCCTTTAGATCCGACATAGGTGTGAATGCCCGTTCGCGGGGAGGGCGGGGTATAAATACAATAAAACAAAATAAAAATAAATGCCTGACAGATCTAAATGAAGCAATCAGACAGCAACATCTAGGAAGCGTCCCGCAGTTGTCGACAGCCCATGCTGCTCCACCACAGAAGTGGAGTTAAAAGACACCGGGGAAAGCCTGGTACTAAGCAGGTTCCGGCGGGCCATGAACGGACTTTCCACTGTCTTTAAAAAAATATTTTATTATAATTAGTGTAAAATATACATAGTCAGAGATAACCAATGCAACCACAAACATTCATAAGCAACAGAACCATAGCAACATATGCAAAATTCAACTAACAACTTATAAGAGTTTAGATGACATAGCATCAAATACCTGTTTTTAAAAAGTGTAAAATCTACAACAAGATTTTTACTATACTATATTTGGTGCGAATATATATCAGCGTTAAAAGAACAAATAAACAGAAAGGGAGTCTACTCTCTGAAAACCTTGCGATTTAAGTAGAGTTTCTTCTGATAAAAACAGATACCATTTCACCATTGAACTTCTATATTCTATCTGTTTCACGTTGGGCAACCCAGTCAGATATTTTATCTGAAATAAAGTATTCCCAAACTTTATTGTACCAATAACTAATTGTCGAAGCCGATCAGTTTTTCCAATGAGTTGCAATACCATTTTTGGCTGCTGTAAGTAAAACGGAAATCAATTCTCTATCAACAGAAATCTGAGTTTTAGGCCATAAATTCAAAGGTATTAAAGCTGGGTCTCTAGGGGACTTTCTCATCTGATCGTGCAAGCATGCACTCATGCCATTGGGACGGTGATGACAACTACATGCACACTGACCAGATGGCCACTGTTCTCCAATTTAACAGGTGGCTGGTTTCTGCCACTCTTCCCCATCTTCTTAATAATTAGTATTTGTTCTAGTCATAAATGCATTCTGCATAAATATATGACATTTTAGCAGTAAAAATAAAAACGTTCTTACAGATCTAAGAATGTTGATTGTATGTTCCAATTTCCGTATCATATTTTGTTGGCATTTAATCTGAGACTAAAAGGGAAAAAAAGGAAACTATATTACATATAGGAAGTCAAATAGTAAGCAGAACTTTTGTAAGGTATTTCTCAGTGATGAACTAATGCATTTAGACTACTGCTTTAGATGTGCTGAAAGAAATTAATCTATTAGGAACTGAAACCAGTTATGCTGTCATGATAGCCTTTGCTCTTTGCTCCACATACTTGCAGGTCAGGAGCAGAGGTCACACAGCAAGGCAATGCTGCAACTTTTTATACAGACTTTCCGTTCTCTTCCCCTATTAAGCCAAGTAGCCCAGCTTCCTCAACTGACATTGAGGCATAACTGCAGGCAACTCTGAATACAGTTCAGGAAGGAACTATGAAGCAAACACAAGCAGTTGTTAGAGGTGCTAGCCTTCGCTCATGAGAATTTTACTTTTTATACTTTGCCAGATTTAGAGGTTGCAAAGCCAAGAAATAATTACACATAAGTAATTTTTATTATTAATGTTCATGTGTACACTATCACAATGTGCACATACACACTGAAGCATCATATAAGGAGTGATGCTGACAGTACACACATTGAAATCAGTGGGCTTAGATTGGCGTAACTTTTTTTAGGATTGCACTGTCATTCTCTGTCCCACTGTATCAGCTAATTCATATATCCAGCTCAATTTGAGTCCCAAAGCAATGAAAGTGTGGCCATTAGCTGTGATAATTTTGATATATTTTGCTGATAAAATCTCTCTGATTCAATCCAACTCTGATTCCGCATTTTTTGCAGAACAGACAGAAGTATCAAATGCACTGTCTGCTCAAATTTATACAGATAGTTTTGGACTGGTCTTCCTGAGTAACGTTGAAAGGATGATGGGGCCCATGCAGGTAGCCACTGGCACCCTGGATACTTGTCCCATTTGGCTTAAATGTTCTTGGGATAAAGTAAGGGTTCCACTGGCTAATATTAACAACTCCCCATTACAAAGAAACCATCTGCCAAAACTTCTGAAAGAGGCTGTAACCCAGCCTTTGCTGAAAAAGCCTTCCCTCAATAAAAAATATCATTGCCAATTTTAGGTGTGTGTCAAAAGTTGCCCTTTTTGAGTAAGGGGACTGAGTGGAGACAGAGCAACTTCAGGGTTTCCTGGATGACTTATTTGTCCTTGACCCTTTACATTCTGGCTTTGGGATAGAGATTGCTTTAGTTGCTCTGGTGGATGATCAGAGAATCATAGAGTTGGAATAGACCTCCAGAGTCATCTCCCCCTGCACAATGCAGGAAAGTCACAAATACCTCCCCCCCCACATCCACAGTGACCGCTGCTCCATGCCCAGATGACATAAAATGTCCAGGATCTCCAGCCAAACTGGCCTGGAGAAAAACTGCTCCCTGACCCCAAAGTGGCAACAAGCATTTCCCTGGGCGTGTAAGAAAGGGCCACAAGAACTAAACACCGATGAAACCCTTCCTGCCCTCCCTCTCATAATCTGCCTAATCAGCATTGCTGACAGATGGCCATCTAGCCTCTTTTTGAAAACAGAGTCTGTGTTTAGATAAGGGAAATGCATTTAGTTTGATCCTATTTAATATCTGTGCTGCTTATAACACAAGACCACTTCATTTTGTTGAGACATGTAGAAACCAGAATGGGCTTGAGAGGTACTGTGTTAAATTTGGTCTTTTGTCTTGGTCAATGCAGAGAGTAGTGGTTAATGACATGGAGCTAGAGCATGTGACTTATCCTGCACAGTTCTCCAGGATCCAATTCTCTCACCATTGTTTTATTTGTATGTTAGACTTTCAAATGGGATTGTCCAAAGCTCTGGGATTGGGTGTCATCCGTATGTTAATAACATCCAGCTCTACATTTCTTTAAATAAGGCTCCAAAAGAAACGGTTGTTATCTTGGACCAGTTTCTGAATGCAGAGTAAAACTGAATCCAGACAAGATGGAAGTGATACTGGCTGGTAAAGTAGAAGCTCTGGAGAAGAATGGTCTTGAACTTGACAAGTCTATTAATAGTTTAGAAGTTCTATCAGATCTTGCTTTGTTATCTGAAGATCAAGTAAACGCTTCCTTCAGCTGCATCTTGTGCAGACATTCTCTCTCCTTTTAGACCCTGCTGAGCTGGACACACTGATACATGCTTTTGCAATGTAATAGATTAGAAAACTAGAAAGCATTCATAAGGCTACTGGCAGTAAAAAGGTGTATAAAAAACTCTTGATCGAGAGACAAGCCTTAGAGATGCTCAAGACTTCTCAGATAAAACGCAATATTACACATTTAAAGCGTAAATTCTGGTCTAAAACTCCAAAGCATTTACGGTCGTTAGCTTGGAAAGTCCAAAAAAGAAGCACCCCAAAATTAATTAGAGCTATTAAAGATGTCAAAGGAAATCTCTGTTCAAAAGACACACAAATAGTTAAGCTGTTCCATGAGTATCATTGCTCACTCTATCAAACTAAACATCCAAGCCCAAAAGCAATACTAAGATTACCTATTAACAAAACAGCCTCTTCCTCATCTTGAAAAGCAACACAGGGAAGCACTTGAATCTCCAATCACACATCAGGAGGTTCATGATATCATCAGATCCTTAAGAAACTTTAAAACACTGGGCAATGATGGGTTCCCGGCTGAATTTTATAAGTCTTTTTCTCATATCCTTGTTAGTCCACTTACTAGCGTATGCAATGATATCTTAAACGAAAATATCTTACCCTCTTCATGGACCGACTCAGCGATCATCGTTATCACAAAACTAGGTAGAGACACCACAGAACCAGCGTCCTATCGGACAATCACTTTGATTAATCAAGACTCAAAAATCTTCTCGTCTATCATAGCTAAACAGTTGGGGAACTTCATAACCCATTATGTGCATAAAGACCAAACTGGCTTTATGCCTTCACGCAACATCGCTGACAATATTCGTAAATCTTTAAACAGCATGAATTATTGCAGAAGTGAAAAACTTAAATCCATAATCCTATCGCTCAACACTGAAAAAGCATTCAATACGCTAGAAACACCATCTCTTAGATCTGTTTTAAAATGCATGGACTTTGGCGAGAAATTCATGAGAACAATAGATACCATTTATAGTGACCCAAACATGCGCATTCGTATCAATAACCTGTATTCAGAAATTTTAACCCCCTCGAGAGGCAGTAGCCAGGGATGACCCTTGTCACTCCTCCTATTTGCGATTGCCATGGAACCTCTAGCTATTGCTATCCGTGTCAACCCACTTATTAAAGGAATAAACATCTATGATAAATCTTTTAAAATAAGCCTCTTCGCTGACGACACGGTCTTATATCTCACAGACCCATTGGAATCCTTAAAATTTATTAACAACAAACCGCTCCACTTCGGTGAGGTATTGGGACTGCGAATCAATAAAAAAAATCTGAAATATACCCCACCTACATTACACCTGAACTCTCGAACACTATTAAGGCACTTTATAATTTTAAATGGGTAACTAATGCGTGGAGACATTTGGGGGTTTTCATCCCCATTCATTTAAAAGACCTGCTGCAATACAACTTTGGTGAAACATACAAAACAATCAAACTCAAACTGGAAAAATGGCATCAATTATCTTTTTCTTGGTCAGAACGCATAGACCTAATTAAGTCTTTCATTTTACAGAAATTCATCTTTCTGTTCCGCACACTGCCTGTACTCATCCCTTTACGCGATATAAAGATATGGCAAAACACCCTTTTGTAGTTTATATGGGACAACAAAAAATATAGGATTAGCTTTTACACTCTTCGTAAACTAGTGCTAGACAATATGGACATAAATTTAAATTAATAGAAATATTCTGTGCAGCTGCCTGTGCAGTTATAGCTAAATTTTGGGGAAATGACAAAAGACCCACTATATCTGATTGGTTCTTTAAAATTCAGGAATATTGTATAATGGACAAGCTAGCGGATTCTTTGTCACCATCTATATAATTCAAATTTTGTTAAAATTTGGTTTCCAGTTTTTGAATACTTCGCCTCACATAAGGAATTTGAGCATATACTTGAAGCTATTAATGTTGTATATCAGAGGTCATTTCGGGGGGGGATCGCGGGGGAACGCAGTTCCCCCGGGTGAGGTGTGGGGGGAGTGGGGCACATGACGAAGCCCCGCCCCCTGCTTCCAGCCGCCCCGCTTCCGGCCCTCATTTAGCCAGGAGGAGGCAGGAGAAGAGGGAGGGTAAGTTGCTTCCTCCCCGCCTCTCCCCACCCCTGCCTGCCTGGAGCCAGGGAGGGCCTTCGCGGGGCTTCCTTGCACTCCCGCCGGCCTTGCAGGTCCACCGCCGGGCCCCTGATGTCAGGGGGTGTGGCATATGCTAATGAGTTATGCTAATGAGTTCCCCTAGCTCTTTTTCTACGAAACGACCCGTTGTATATTAATATCCGCCATAAAAGTTACATATGTTACACACTTTCTCTCTCAATGCTAGCTACTACAGGTTGTACTACTGTCGTAATAACTGTTCTATGTTTTGCGTTAGTTATGTATTTGGTTACGGCTATGCATGTATTTGGTTATTAAACACACTAAAGTTTAAAACAAAAAAAAGACGCTGAACTACAGGCTGGAAGGTTGGTAGTTCAGCAGTTCGAGACCCAAGTGCCGCATGAGAGAGTGAGCTCCCGTCTCTGGTTCCAGCTCCTGCCAACCTAGCATTTCGAAAGCAAGAAATTGCAAGTAGATAAATAGAAGAAGAGATTGGATTTATATCCCACCCTTCACTACCCAAAGGTGTCTCAGAGTGGCTTACAACCTCCTTTCCCTTCCCCTCCCCACAACAGACACCCTGTGAGGTAGGTGGGGCTCAGAGAGCTCTGACAGAAACTGCTCTTTTTCAAGGACAGCTCTTATCAGAACTACGGCTTGCCCAAGGTCATCCAGCCAGGTGAAAGTGGAGGAGTGGGGAATCAAACCCGGTTCTCCCAGATTAGAGTCCGTGCACTTAACTACTACCCCTTCGGTGGGAAGGCGACAGCGTTCCGTGCGCCTTGGCTTTTAGTCATGCCAGCCACATGACCACAGAAACGTCTTCAGACAGCACTGGCTCTTCGGCTCGGAAACAGAGATGAGCACCGCAACCCTAGAGTCGGATTCGACTGGCTTTCGAGCAAGGGAAACCTTTAACTTTATTAGAAAACTACACTACATTCTACCCTTGAAGACTATACAGAGGCTATAATGGTACAAAATGAAGCTGCTTGTCTACTGACAAGCCTAAAAGTATGAACAATTTGGTAGAAAGTGCCATCAAATCGCAGCCCTTGAAGGGGTTTTCGAGGCAAGAGATGTTTAGAGGTGGTTTGCCGCTGCCTGCCTCTACGCAGCCACCCTGAACTGCCTTGGTGGTCTCCCATCCAAATACTAAACAGGGCTGACCCTGTTTAGCTTCCAAGATCTGGCTAGCCTGCGCTATTCAAGTTAGGATATGATAAATTTACTCCAACTGTATGACACTCCCATTGGCTACCTGTATACTTCTGGACCCAATTCAAGCTGTAAGTTATCACCTTAAAGTCATGGTCTGAGATACACATATCTGAAGGACCATGTCCCCCAGTACGAATCTGTATGCCAATTATAATCCTCCTAGAGCTCCTTTCTGACTATCCACTCCATAAGATCTGTTAGGTCTGCTACAAGCCAGATCTTGGTCATTTTCAGTTGTGGCTCCAGTCCTATGGAACAGCCTTCCTGAGGACAGGAGGGTGGCTTTTGATACCATTCTGTCATAGGCAATAAGTAGTTTTACTAGATTGTTGTTGTAATGCAGATATATACTAGTTTCTGTAAGTTGTCATTGTCATAAGAAAAGGCAAGATATGTATTTTAAGATATTTAAATCAGTATTTGTAATGTGTTAAACATGCATGTGTTCTAAAAGCCTTGCACTGTGAATGCAATCGCATAAGCCCCATGCTGCTCCATACCGTTCTACTCCTTAAATACAGAAGAATGGCAGAAATGCTGGCATTATTTCAGAGAGTTTTTGGTGAGAATACACATGTGCATCCTGGTTTTCCATATTCCATACAGACAAACCCACAAGCTGAAAGAAAAGCCCAGGCCTCCACTCGCCATGTCACCCCAGACCACCTCTTCAGCAGCATGGTATCTGTGGAGTCACTGTCACTATAAGCAGGTGCATTTAGGGTTAGGTACAAGACATCAGATTCTACAGTCTGAGCAAGCAAAATACCTTCTCATCACAAAAGTACCCTGTACAAACTCCAGAGCGCTGTGCCCTTAAATACTTTTTAAAAAAGAATTCTTTTCTTTAAAAAAATTCATCCTTAGATGTGAGAATATTTGTAAACAATAGGTGGCAACAGACCCTGAGTGCTCAAGAGTTAAGATTACTGAGTCAGGAAAGACCTCCAGTTGATATGTCATGTTGCTTTATAAAGCTACTGGAAGCATACAGACTTCAGGGTCTTCTAAAAAGATGCAGGATTTTAAAAAAATTAACACCATTCTTAGTTACTTTCCTTTGAGTTAAAATTTTAAATAAGTAATTATTATTTGGCAATATTTGAACAGTCAGTTGAGCAAGACTTCTACTGGTCATGTGACAACCCCCAAGATATATACAGGGGAGGCTTTCAAAGTTGATCGGAACAGATTGGTTGCAATAATAAATTTATTTACAGAAACCCCTGAGATTTTTTCAAATGCAGATCAGACCAATAAAAACACTGGGCTGAATCTACTACCCCCTTGTTCAAGCAGAAGGTATTTTCAGTGGACACCCCACACATACACACACACTGTTCAGATGCAGCCCCTATGCTGCATTCTGCACCATTCCTTAGGTTCCACGCTGTTGCTTTTCTCCAGAGGGTGCAGGGTGCTATAGCAGGGATGAGGTGGAAAAGATCAGGCAGATCTTCTCTCAATCAAACAAACAAACAAACATAAAGACCATTTTCAACTAGATTAGATCAAAGGGCCATTCCAATAAAATATATGAATCTATTTAGCAGCTCAGCATGAGATAGACTGACTCCATAAAGGAAGCCATGGCCTTCAGTTTGCCAGACTTCAGCAAGGCTGCTAATGATAGGACATTTTGGAGGTCATTAACTCATAAGGTCACCATAGATTGGAATGGACTTAATGGTACATAACACACACACACACACACACACACACACACACTGTGAGATACTATGCAGGCAGTGTATGCAAAAGAATGAACAGAAGGCCTGCCACACAGACACAGTACCACTTATAGCATCATGGTGGTGTCATATCTATCTCAGAATACTGTCCTAGTGGAACAATGTGGACCAGCACTATTGTATAAGTTTATGGTTGCCAACAGGCCTGGAGAAAATAGTACTGTTCCTTTAACAGAGGCTTAATATGTACACTGCAAAAAAGATACTAATGTTACAATTAGTTTTACCTATGCAACTCTTAAAACTGCACAATCTGACAAAGCGCTAGGTTTTCCTGCTGGCAGATGTTGTCCTCCAATACAGATAGCCACACATTCTAAAAATATATATGTGTATGAACATGTGTTTTAATGTAGCAATTCAAGTACCTTTGCTTCAGCAAGCTCCATGTCAGCACTATCCAAGACAAATTCTTTTTCTTTTTCTAGCTGTTCAGCTAACTTGCCAATATGAGAGAGTTTTTTACATAGATATTCATTCTTACTGGCTAAATTGTCCACTTGACTTGTTACTTCCACCTTATTGTTAAGTAGTTTCATAACATGTTTCTCCAAGTCAAGGTTTTTTGTTTGCAGACCTTCAACCTAGTTGGTCCAAAAATAACAAATCAATTTCATTTATTTTACCTCTTAAAATAATGCCATATTGTACAGCAAAACATTTGTTGATACCATGTACAAAGCATATGTAAAATAAAGCTGCTTCTTCGTGGGTATGTTATTAGATTAATCAGTGCCTGGTCACAGCTGATGGAAAGTTCATGGAAGATGAATCAAGACATAATCTAAATTAATTGGGCTCATTAGTGGTGAAAGTGTTAGGAATATCTTACAGTAGTTTCTGGGCTTGTTAACTGGCACTGATTTGTTTTGGTTGTGTTTACCTGGCTCAAAATACATACCACTTCCCATCCATCCAAATTGATTAATCCCTGCTGTTTTCCCCACAAAGAGTCAACACCTCCCAACCCACATACCAGACAGGAGATGAGCAGCTGGGGCAAAACAATTTTGGCAGGAAAAGAGAGAACAAAGGTAGGTCTGAGTTGTTCTCTCCTGCCATGCTGTACTTTAAATCGCACCTCATCCTCTGCTTAATATTGAACAGGAACAACCCATCGTGTGTAGTTGTACATCAAATTACATTAAATAATTCCGTATCCAGTCCACTACTAGGACGCCAGACCACATAATACAGGTCACAATGCATGTTAAAATCTGCAGCAGCTTCAATTTCTAGAGCTGTAATCTTAAGGGTACTTTCCTGGGAGTAAGTCCCATTATATAACATGGGACTTGCTACTGAGCAGATCCACCTGGGCTTCTTCTCTTAAGTGCCTTGAATATTAGTCGTTTTGATACAACATACTTTAGAGTTTTATATATGGAATAAAAATAAGCATCTATGCCTTTCACATTGTGAAAATCCATTGTAAGTATAAAATTGTTCCAGCAATACTATCAGGAATAATACAACACCATAAAATAATACTGTCATCTAAGAATATTCTATTTACCATACTACCAACCTATATCTGTCACGTCTGAATCCAAACTGATAAAAGCAAAGTAATCCTAAAACACTCAAGATACTGTAACTACTCTCCATAGCATGGTTTTATGTGGGTCTGTATTGGGAAGACCCACTAGCAAACCGGGATAATGAGTCATAATGACAAATGTCATCACAGGTTGATTAAATGCTACTGTACAATCATTAAAATGTTATTTTGGCACTATTACAATTTTGTTCCTGCAGCTCTATTGAGAAGACAAAACCATTTCCCTGGTTTTCACAGCTGAGTGACTAAATTAAATGTGATGTCATATTTCAATTATTACATAATTTCAGTTATTACAAATGGCCAAAATATCAGGACAATATGACAGAACCTCTGATTGTAACTTTTGGATGATTTTGTCTTTGTTCTTAATCTTTTCTTCAAGTTTTGGAAGTTGGTTGCTTTCAGAAAATGGATCTTTTGTCGTCACCTGTGGAGAAAAAAGCAGACAAAGCAGCATAAAGGGCAATCTTGTTTGATTAGTTTTTTATGTACACTTTTAACTTATGCTGCCAGAAGTCATTATACTGAAGTCATTATACTGAAGTCATTATATCTGCAGCCTCAATAGGACCTACTGTTGTGCACAGTTGCACCCTTAGTGACTACGGCTTGGATCCCACCCAGAAACAGGTACAATAGTGGCAGATTTATCTATTTTTAAGATTTTTATTTTTGAATTTGAAATTATAACACATTTACAACACAGGATCCTTAAATAAAGTAACAGGACCTGCAAAGACAATATCTTTTGTATATTGTAAAGACAGAATGTAAAATATTACAATTAAGTATTTATCAGCAATACATTGTATTGTAATACATCACAATATTTTTAATGAACATACAATAAAACTATCAATGTGTGTATGCGTATCCTCAAATTTAGATGGTCTTATATAATTTTCCCCACTGATTCTGCATATAATATAAAGGGGATCTATTTTTCTAAGAAGCCCGAGATAGAATTGGGATTTTCCATACTTTTCAATTTGTCAAGACCTTGTCCGTTATCATTATTCCATATTTTATTATACCAGTTTTTGAAGGTAGGTGATTTCCCCCACCAACTTTTTGTCACAGGCAGTCTGGCTGTTGTTAATAACAACATTATGAGTTCACTTCTAATAAAGTATCCATTTAAAACAAATCTCAATAAAAATGATTATTAAAAGTTGCCACATAAATTATCACTGATAAGGAATTACATCCTTTAAAAAAAGTTGTATTAGACTATGATCCATGCAGCTTGACTATCTGCATGTTTATGTGGAAGTAAACAAACTGGAAGAATACTTATAAAATATGTCTGAATTGCTCACATGAGCTCTCTACATGATTAGCCAGTGCAATACTATGCAGAGGTACTCCAACCTAAATCAACTGATTTCAGTTAACTTAGATTGGAGTAACTCTGCATAGGAATGCACAATGGTTTGCTTTCCTGGGGCCCCGTTCATACGAGGCCAGTTGGGCCGGGAGCGGGACGGAACGGGGGCGGAGCAAACCGGCACAATCCCACCTCAACATCTGGGGAGCGTGCCGGATCCGTCCCGGTTCCGTCCCTACCGGCGATACCGCGCAGGAAAACAGAACCACCTACCGAGGTGGTGGAATCCGTTGGAGCGCCGCAAGCCGGGCCGTGGGATCGGCCGGCTTGTATTTGCGCTGGTGCTTCCCGGCCCCCTGCCGTACTGCGCATGCTCGAGCATGCGCAGTTCGGCAGCCTCCCCCTCCCAGCCAACTCTTCCTCCCCGGCATCTGATCGTGCCGGGGAGTGACGCGACGCGGCTCCGGGGATCTGTGGGATCCCGCCGCGGCGTTCCAACTTTGGTGCGGCTCACATTTGCCGCAGATCAGCCCTCCGTTTCCCTGCTGTGTGGCAGGGACCTACGTTAGGCTAACTTGGTGACAGTAAGTGAAGGAAATGCTTGCTTTTATTTAAAAAACATTTTTCTCAATTGTAACCACTTATGAGCACAGTATAAATAAAACTATGAGCACAGTAGCCAATGTCATTCTAAAAACTATTTGGATTAATTATGTGTAAACAATAAAAGGATTTCTCAGCACAGCAAGTCGATCATGTCCTGCCTATTTTTTGTTAGAAGGCAAGGTGTCAGTCACCATGGCACTAGCATTTGTTTTGCTTGAGAATTTAACTGCTGGGCACTCTGGTCTCTTTAGGGCAAACAGTAGTCCGGGGAATGCAAACTTCTAAACTGCAACTTTTGTGTTAATTAACATTTTTACCGAAAGAGGACTAGGAATAATTTACATATCTCCCAAACATGACAAGGATCTGTATCTGAAGAAGCCAGCAGTGAGTCACTCGTGCCCTACCACAAATTTTGCTAACTGGACTCTTACTCTTTTCTAATGCCAAGGATGGATCCCTAATATGGCTCTTAGATTCCTGACACACAGCTTTTATAGAACGAAACTCCAGCACTGCGTCTGAAAAAACAATTTTCAGGATTGCAGTCGTTTCTTCTCACACACACCTCAGTAAGAGCGACAAAATAATCCTGTTTCTCTCTGTGTGTGTGTGTGGAATCCAGCCCAACCTCCCGCTACAGGTCGCCTGGCAATTTAGTGCTGCTTTCTCGATGTCTCCGGGGACTATCTGTACCTTTGTGTGAAATTCTGTTGTTTTCCTCCTGCGCCCAGGGTACCTTCTAGACATCATGCCGGCGACTACACTGTCCGCTCCAAAAGAGAAAAAAATAAAGGTATTTTCCCCCCCTCCCCCTTTTCTCAGGCCTCTCAACTCGCTTCCTCAGCCTTACCGCTGACTTCGCCTTCTTTCCCCCCTCTCAACTCGGGAAGCCCAACGAATGGCCAGACCAGATCGTGGCAGCTCAGCTATGAGCCTGCCCCCCCCCCCGCCCCTTCACTACTCCACAACGGCTGGGCAAAAAGGGCGGGAAGAAGAAGCCGCAAAGCCACCTGCACCTGGAAAGGTAGGAGATGCGTCTCCCTCTCCCGCCCATGAACCCTGTCTGAAGAAGTGAGCAGTGACTCACGACAACTCATGCCCTACCACAAATGCTGTTAGTACTCTTTAAGGTGCTACTGAGCTCTTACTCTTTTCATCCTGTCCCCCAAAAAGTGAAGGCGGACGGGAGCCTAGTCAGCGTCTACAATTCTCCTCAGACCGGCGCCTCTTGCCTCGTTGGACGTGCTGCCCCCTACAGGCTTGCCGCAATATTGTCCCTTTCCCGCTCGCTCTCTCGGTCTCCTGGTAACGCTCTCCCCACCCCTCCGGCTCTCGTTACCTTTGGGATTAGGCATCATCAGCGCTCATCTTTTGACCCCGCCCCCTTCCCCTTCATCGGCGCTTGCGGCCCATTTCAACCGCGGTTCGCGTTTCGGCAGCAGCACCGACCAATAAACTGGAGGTCGAAGCGCGCGATCCTCGAAGCTCTGCTATGTGCCGGCGGGGCCGGGCGGGGCTTCAAGGAAAGACGGCTGGAAGCAAGTCCAGTTCCAACGCTCTCTCCCCCAAGTTCTTGCCCCTACCCCCAGCACTTGTTTGGACGGTTTTGGCCGGAGAACCGGTCTGGCCGTGTTAGTCTGGTGGAGCAAAACTGAATGGGAATCTAGTGGTATTTTAATAATTTAACAAAGCTTTGTTGTAGCATAAACCTTCGTGGACTAGGGATGTAGTGTAGCGGGTCCTCCTCACTAGGAAGGAAGACCTTTTAAATATGTGATGGGGGGGGGGGGCGTGATCTAACATAAGATGGTTAAATGGCTGTGAAATCCAGGAGCTGCCTGGGGAGAGCTACTTATCGAAAATTCAAATATAGCCAAGAAAAGTACAGAGGCAATTCATAAAAGCAGTGAAAGTAGGTTATTCTCCTCTTCCTCCTCTCCCTCCTCCTAAACAAAATACTAGAAATAGCTATGTTGTTGTTCAGTCGTACAGTCGAGTTCCACTCTTCGCGACCCCATGGAAATGTCTATAGACACCCATAAATGGACACAGCACCTGTAATAACAAAGCCAGTAAAGTGTCCCAGAGATTTTGCTCAGTTTTGAAGGGAGGGGGCTATTGTGTCTAAACTCTGATGAATTCTGTCTCAGCAGTTTTGTTCTCCCATGTTTAATATCAGATTTATGTCCATTTATTCTTTTGCACAGGAACTCACATGTTTGACCAGTGAGGCAGCAGAATGGCATTGTGGACTTTTGATGGTATATGTTGCACTGGAGGATGAGCCAAAGACAGGACATTATTAGGTCCTGTACCTCTTGCCTCTTTGGACGTGGGGGTGGGGAGAGGCTGAGCCAGATGGCCCAGACTACCTGAGTCTTATTAGATCTAGCAAGCTCAGCAGGGTCAGCCCTGGTTAGTAGTATTTGGATGGGAGACCACCAAGGAAATCCATGGTCACTACAGAGGCAGGCAATGGCAAACCACATCTGTTGGTCTCTTGCCTTGAAAACCCTGCAGAGTAGCCATAAGTCTGCTGTGACTTGACAACACTTTCCAGCACCACATATGGGAGGAACGGTATTAGGTACATCCAAGAGTCTATAGGAACATTTCAGTCAGGGTTCAGAGAATTAAAAAGCGAGATTTTAGTTCTCAGTATTCATTTTCTTCAGAAAATGTATAGTACAAGCTTCTGTTAACCTCAGAAATGATATGGCAGGGAGGGCGGGATATAAATTGAATTAAATAAATACTTGTCACAAAGAAGTTGGCCTTGGCCTCAGCTAAAGACGTCTTGCTCTGGGACTTATGGATGATGATTTGCCTATCATCATTCTGACTAACCAAGTCAGCCAAACCAGAAACCTGTAAAAAAGTGAAGACACTAAAACAAATGACAGAGAATGGACACTAGAATCCATTAGTTATTTTCTAATGACTAGGAATTCACTGAGTTTTTGAATGGCCGTTGGAAAGCTTAACAGTATGTATGAGTCTTTACGGAGCAAGAGAATATGACCTGCACACTAAATTTCTTCACTTTTTTCACTTTACTTGAAACCTTTAAAGGAATGGCTGGGGCAATAAAATTAGTAAAATTAACATCATTCAGAAATACTGCATTTAAATTACAGAATGTGACTATTACTGGAAAACAATAAATAAATGTGACCTGGATGATGATATAGTTTTGCCGTAGTATTCTGATTCTGATTTTGAAGTTCTGTGACCATATTTGTGTTGACTGTTATATGTATGTATAATCTCTCTAGTGTTTTTATTAGTGTTCTGGGGGGATCATTTTGGTCTGCTACTTGGAGATACTCATATACCTTGTAAGCAACCAGCCTCCCTTTCCTTAATGTTTCCAGTGGACATTAAAAACAGTGAATTCCAGCCCTGACATGGATAGCTCAGGCAAGCCTGACCTCGTCAGATCTCGGAAGCGAAGCAGGGCTGACCCTGACAAGTATTTGGATGGGAGACCTCCAGAGAATACCAGGGCTGGAAGGCTAGAGGCCAGGCTGTGAAGCCACTTCTCTGAATATCCATGCTCCAGTAGGAGTCGCCAGAGGTCGCCATGACTTTCAGGCACGGGTACACACATGCACGCACACACACACAACCCCTCCCCCAATGAATTCCTGTAGTCATTCAGAAAGAACAAATGAATTCCAACAGCCATTTATGGTTGATGTAACTTGATGGCAACAATATGATCAGTGAAAGGGGAACAATATGGGAACCTGACTCTGTCAAGTTGTTGCCTCATGCCTCCTGTTGCTATCCAGCTTGCTATCTTTCCTCATGTTGTATTTGGAGTTCTGCCAGCTGAACTAAGTAAATAACTTTACTGGGTTCCTTATAAGTTTGTGCTGTTAAAATGTCTATTTTGGATTCACTTGAAATAATTTGTAATTTCACTGATATTATTATTATTATTATTATTAGCAGTTCGAAAGCAAGAAATTGCAAGTAGATAAATAGGTACCACTTCAGTGGGAAGGTAACAGAGTTCCGTGCACCTTGGTGTTTAGTCACGCCGGCCACGTGACCACGGAAGTGTCTTCGAACAGCGCTGGCTCATCGGCTTTGAAACAGAGATCACCACAACCCTAGAGTTGGATTCGACTGGCTTTTGAGCAAGGGAACGTTTACCTTTCAATACCCAAAGATGTTTCTGAGCAGCTTACAATCCCCTTCCCTTCCCCTCCCGACAACGGACAGACACCCTGTAAGATAGGTGGGGCTGAGAGAGTTCTGAGAGTGAGTTTTTCACTATGGTCACATTTATTTTTCCACTTGGTCAAGGAGAGTGTCTCTTTAAAATTATCTCCAAAGTATTGGCTGAAGGAAGACGCCAGAGATAGACCTCAATTCAACATCTTGTGTGTTGTAGCACAGGGAATTTGTATCCAGGAGATACTGCTTGGCAAACTACCACCAGCCAACACAAAGCTTTTTCATTTATCAACATAACTATATTTGGAGAGATCATGCCCTTTTGGGGATTGAGTGCCAGCAGCACATGCGAAGAACTGCATCCTTTTGTAGAGAATGAGAGGAAGGAAGAAAAGCTATACCTCAAGAGCCCTCCATCGTGTATTAGAAATGATCTTGTATTTACTGTGCTTAATTCTGACAGGTTAGTATGATTGTTGCTTTTTATCATTGTCCAGTGAAAGGGGGGAAACAGTCTGTGCCAAAAACAGATGATGGGTTATGTAAGGCTTATTCATAACATTCTTCATTATGTAGTCATAATTCTGGTACATGTTACACATTAATAACAGGAACACATTCTTACACTGTTAAAATCTTTCTTAAATTAACTCCCATTCAACATATGGAGGCTGAAGTGTGTGTTGATAGTGCTGCTAAACAGCTGTTTATTTCTATCTGTGCATATGTTCAAATCACTGAAGAGCTCTTTGTATCTATAGAACAGTTCATAATTTCTGCAGGAACTCTCAATAATAAGATCAGCTTTGTGCAAAGGCCAGTGGAATTAGCAAATTATATTTGCTTCTCCTCCTTAAAGAGCTTTAAGAAGATGTTTTGACCAGAACCTGTGATAATGGAGTCTGTTCGTAATTGATTTGCTTCCAGAAAAACATGCAAACCAAGGGGCTGGTTATGCAGGAGATGAAAATGACTTTAAAAATAAATACTGTTTTTATTTGACAGCTATTAATTATGTTACATTTTGTAGTACATGTTCACCTATATGTAGTTCTACAAAGAATGAACCCATTTAGATGTACTGTAAATTGCTACTGACTTTAGGTGATACAAGGATATAAGACTGCTGTGGAAATTATGGAATTGTATAGCTGCAGAGACCCTTAAAATATTGTCCAGCCCCTTGCACAGAGAGAAGATGTTTATGCAGTTTAATATGGAACACTTCTAACCAATTAATCCTTATTATTCAGATTATAGCAGGTCAGAAGCACAGAATATAAATTACAGAGGTTCATCATAACAAAGGTAAGTTTTGCTTCAGATATTTTGAGTCCTGTGCGAAATATTTAAAAGATCCTCAGTTCCTTACTTCTATGAAATTTCACAGTGCCTCAGCCCCGTGCCTCCTTTACTTACTTTAAAAGATCCTCAGTTCCTTACTTCTATGAAATCTCACAGTGCCTCAGCCCCGTGCCTCCTTTACTTATCAGGCCCATAGCTACAGTGGGGCATTTCAGGGCCCCACCCCCTAATTAAAAGCCCCATTCCACAAATAGACATGC